TAGTTCATGACTTTTGTGTCCTATGTACCTAAAATATTTTGCCTATCTCAAGACTAGGAAGGGTTTCTCTTATGACTTTAGTTTTATAGCTTTATATTTAATGATTTTATATTTACATAAATCTTTTTATATTTTGATTTATTTCTAGTAAATTTTTATGTATGATTAGAGATAAAGATTAGCCTTTATTTCTTCCTTATGGATATCCAGTTATGCAAGCACCATTTGTTGAAAAGACTATTCTTTCCCCTTGGCAAATTGTTGAAAGTTAATTTACATATGTCTCTATATCTACACACACACACACACACACACACAAAGTTAATTTACATATGTATCTATATCTCCACACACACACACACACACACACACACACACACACACACACACACGTCTTTAATTTCTCTTAGCAGTATGTTTCTATTGTATAGGTTTTGTAGGTATCTTACCTAATTTATGCCTAAGTGCTTCATATTTTTAGAATAATACTGAAAACAGTACTTAAAATTTTTGTTTCCAATTGTCCCTTGCTAGTATTTAAAAATATAAGTGATTTTAGGGGTCTTGATCTTATATCGTGCCAACTTGCTAAAGTTACTTGTTAAATTCCCAACACTTGCATGATTTTAGATGCCTTTGTAAATTGTATTTTCATTTCAATTTCCATTTGTTCTTTACTGATACAAAGATAAAATTCATTTTTGTAAATTAACTTGTATCCTGAGAATTTGCTAAACCCACTTATTAGCTCTAGAAGCTTTATAGATTTCCTAGGACTTTGTACCTACAATTTTCCACCTACATGATCGTGACATGAGACTTTTTTTTTCTCATTTACATGACTTTTATTTTTCTTTCCTTATTTCACAGACTAATACTTCCAGTACTATGCTGAATTGAAATAGTAAGTGGATATTCTCATCTTATTTACAATCTCAAGATTTTGTGTGTGTGTAGTTTTTTATCATTGATGGCTGTCGCTAGGTTTTGTTGTATCAAGTCGAAGAAGTTCACTTCTATTCCAAATTTGCTGAGATATTTTTATCCTAAAATGGTATAATGTCATTAATTTTTTCTATATCTAATGACTCGATTATATACTTTTTCTCTTTTATTTTGTTAATATGATGAATCTTGCTGATTTTTAAAATGGGTGTGAGCTTCCATTCCCTCTCTTGGTACACCACTTTTTTTTAGCACCTCAGTGAGTTCAACACGAATACTTTCTGAACTCCGACATTTAGGGAGTTTTAGGGAGGTTTCATTCTATAAACACGATTGATTAAATCATTGGCCATTGGTGATTATATCAATCTCTCACCCCTCTCCTCTTCCTAGAGGTTTGAGTGTAGAGTTGAAAGTTCTAACCCTTTAATCAGCCTTGGTCTTTTTGGTGACCAGCCCCCACCCACCAGTCATTCATTAGCATACAAAAGACACCTTTATTATTCAGAGATTCCAAAGTGTGTCAAAAACTGGGAAAAAGAGCAAATATATATATTTTGATTTATAATACAACGTATGATTTGAATTCATTAAAATGTATCGACATTTGTTTTATTGACCAGCTTGTAATCCATTTCAGTGAATGTTTTGTATGCACTTAAAAAGAATTGTTTTGATTTTGTTGGCAGATATCTTCCACAAATATCCATTAGATTAATTTGGATAATAGTGGTTAACAGTTTGTCTTCTATATTCTTACAAATTTCTGTCTACTTGCTCTATCAATTAGTGGGAGGAGAGAGTTGAAACCTCCACATACAGTTGTGAATTTATTTATTTTCCCTCTCATTTATGACAGTTTCTGCTACATGCACTTTAACACTCTGTTATTGATATATACTTACTGATGATTTTATGTCATTTTGATGTAAGAATGCCTTTACTATCATTATGATCTTTAATTCTTAACCCCTGAGAGCATTCCTTGTTCTAAAGTCTATTTTATGTCATATTAACATAGCTGCTCCTGCTTTCCAGTCTTAGTGTTTGAATGATCGCTTTTTTTATCCTGTCCTTTAAATTTGTCTATATTATTATTTGTAAACTAAGTTTCTTATAGACATCATATAATTAAGTCATGCCTTTTTCATCTAATCTGGAAATCTCTATCTTTTAATTGAGATGTATTGAACGTTTACATTTAATGTAGATGTTGATATAGTTTGGCTTATATCGACTTCTTTGCTATTTGTTTTTTCTTTTATTCATCTGTTCTTTACTCATTTTTTTCTTTTTTTCTTCTTTCAATTGAGACTGATTGTATTTTGGTATACTCCTTTTCTCCAATTTGGCTTATTAATGATAATCCTGATATTTTTAATGATTTCTGTAGAGATTAGAATAAACATCTTTAATACACTCTAAAATAAAATAATATCACTCTGGTCTAATGCAATACTCCTACAACAATATATTTCCATTTCTCCACCTCAGTATTTTGTGCTATTGTCATATATGAGTTATATATTAATGCTATATATGTTCTATACTCGATGGTATATATTATTATTGCTTTAGGTAGTTAATTATATTTTAAAGAAATTTTAAAATGAAAAATAAGTATTTCTTTACCCATATATTTAACATTTTCAGTGTTTTTTGTTTCTTTGTGTTGATTCAAATTTCTCCCAGATACTATTTAACATTCCTTGTAGTACAAGTCTATCTATAATGAGTTTTTTCAGCTTTTGTTTATCCAAAAAAATGTTTTTATTTTGCCTTCACTTTTGAAGGATATGTTCACCAGATATAGATTTCTAGGTTGAAAATCTCTTCCAACACTCTAAAGAAGCCAATCCATCGTCTTCTATCTAGAATAGCGTTCTATAAGTCTTATCTTTTTTCTACTGGATAGACTATTTTTTCTGCTCAGACTTTTTTAAGATTGTCACTTTTCACTAGTTTCTGCAATTTGATTGTTCTGTATCTTGGTATTAGTGAAGTGATCGGATATTTTTATCTTTCTTTGGGTTCACTGAGTTTTTGTAGTTGTGTGTTTATACTATTCATCCTATTTGGAATTTTTTAGCCATTATTTCTTCAAGTATGTTTTCTGTCGCATATTCCCCACCACTCTCTGTAAGATTCCAATTAATGTAGGTTAGATTGTTTGATATATTTCTACTAGCCACTGAAGCATTGTTAATTTTATTTTTGATTTATTTTTCTATCATTCACTTTTTATATATTCTATTGTAAAATCTTAAGTTCACTGATTTTTCTTTCTGCAGTTTTTTTCTGTTAACCTCATTCAGTGAAATTTTCATTTTGGAGATCTTACTTTTCATCTCTAATTGTTCCATTTTTAAATCTTCCATTTCTCTTCCCAGTCACATTTTCCTTTAAATACTTGAATATAATCATATTAGTATTTTACTGTTCTTGTCTGCTAATTCCATCATCTCTGTCATATCTGCTTGTTGCTATTGATTTTTCGTTTCTTTATGATTCCTTTTTTCTTGCTTCTTGGAACATCTAAGGATTTTTAATAGTATACTGGACTTTTTGGGCATTACATTTTTTAGTGAATGAACTTTGTTGGCTTTGTTTCGGACTTTCAATGCCTGTTTTAAAGCTCTGAGGGGAAAATTCTAGGTTAATTTTGTAGACTAAGACCTTTGGTGAATGGCAATTTTCCTTAGCATCCACCCTACCACTCTGCTCAAATCTTTCTTTAATCTATGAGATCTGTATTTTTACAATAAGCACAAGTTTTACTTGAGCTTATCTGTGTACATTTCTGTTCTTCACAAAAAAAAAGAAAGAAGAAGAAAAAGAAGCAGAGAAGGAGAAAAAAAAAAAGAAATAAAATAGCATCGCTTATACGAGGCTTACTATGTGCCAGGCACTATTCTTATCCTTTTGTATGTAATAACTTATTAATATCATTAAACAACTCCTCATGAGATAGATATTACCATTGCATTCACCTTCCAGCACATTAAGGAAAAACACAGACAGATTAAGCACAGACAGGTTAATTTACCCAAGTTCACACAGCTAGTAAGGAGTGAAGCGGGAATTTTAATCCAAGGCAATAAATAATCTAGAACAGTGGTCCCCAATCTTTTTGGCACAAGGGACCAGTACTCCTATGAGACTCTAAAGCCTGACAGACAATCTGAGGTGGAGCTGAGGTTGTGATGCCAGCTCTGGGATGCAGCTAAAGGTACAGATGAAGCTTTGCTAGCTCGCTGCCACTCACCTCCTCCTGTGCAGCCAGGTTCCTAACAGGCCATGGGCTGGTATAGCTCTGAGGTGGGTGGAGGGAAGGGAGTTAGGGACCATCTAGAGTCTATGGTTCTTATCACATTATAGTAACTTTCTAAAAAATATTCCTACAGCGATTCGCTCAGGCTGCCACAACAAAATATAGAACCGGTGGTTTAAACAACAGGTATGTATTTCTCCAAATTCTGGAGGGGGCTAGAAATCCAAGAACAAAGTGTCAGCAGATTGGGTTTCTTCTGAGGTGTCTCCTTGGCTTGCAAATGGCCATCCCACCACATCTTCACATAGCTTTCACTCTGTGCACACATATAACTGGCGTTTCTTTCTTTTATACTGAATTAGGGTCCCACTCATATGACCTCATTTAACCTTCATTATTTCTTTAAAAACTCTATCACCAAATACAGTCATACTGGCAGTTATGAATTTAGGAGCACAATTCAGTCCATAACAAAGAGTCTCTAAATCTTCAGATAGAAATCTAACCTCAGAAAACTGGGTTCATGATGCCGGAGTAAATCACTTAGGTAAAACAAATGTAGAAGATAGTGAGAAACAAACACGGGAAAATATCCTATTCAGATACCAATGCTAGAATAGCTCATTTTAGTTATATAAAGGGTAAGATCATAAGCATACAAATATGCACTAATAACTTAGAGTGGATTGGAGATCCTTCCGTCCCTATAACCCAGAAAAGCATCCTTGTTCTATTTACATCATTCCGTTTTTGTGAAGATAAAAAATAATTAGCTGATACATACTTAACATTATGTCTTTCTTCATCCTTCATCCTCTAGCAAGAAGCACTCTTATATGCCTACAAGAAGAAAAAAGAAAAATTAATGTAATGGTCTGCAAGATTTATTGCACTAAAAATTTGAGTCAAATTGTAAGCTTAAAAAATTATAATAAAGTGCATAACTCTATTATTACCCTGAGTTATTGCCCTGAAGCCTCGAATTTTATTTTCTAAAAATCTATGAGATGTGAAGAATATTTTCAGAAACAACCCTAGTTCGTTTATAATTTTTTAAATGTATATATTATGCATATCTTAGCTTTATTTGTTGTTTTGCAAATGTTAACTAAATGTGTATGCCTTATGGGCTGAGGTCAGCACCTTGAGCTTTGTGAGTTTCTGAATGTCATTTCAATAGAGATCTTCTTTTAAATAAATGTATGTTTTTCTATTATAACCAGGTAATGCCAATTGCCCAAAAATGACAAGGGAAAAAGCAACTCAATGCATCTATTAAAAGTAAAGCTTGGAAATACATTATTTCAAAGCCATTTCGAGTAGCTAGTAACTACAATTCTAAAATTAAGTAAATTTACATAGTCTAACACATTTCCATTTCTTAAGAGTTATATAAAGAAATCGACTCTTTGTAAAATGTCATGCTTTAGACAATCTTTTAAATTAATGTTCCATAAATGACAATTAATCTTATTAAGCAGATTAGTTCACATAATTAGTTTACATACACACGATTGGAACAATAAAATGCTCTCAGTTATATAATTGTTCATAATTAGAATATCAAGTTACTGCCCTAGTTTTTCAATTTCCAACCAAATTGTCTAATAATTATTTGGTGTTTACTTAGCTTATGTTCTTATTGCTATACTTAGATATCTACATATAAAGCTCAAATACAATTTGTTTAATGGGGGGAAGAAGATAAAACATTTAGGTTAATGTCAGTGTAGTTCAATACGTCAATCTTGGAAATAGATGCAAATAATTGATCTCCTGTCTGACAGCATCCTAAAACCTAAAAAAAGAAATTATATATATATATCATCTCAAAAGCCTTACCCATGCAGAACACAGACATATTAGAGGTTTGTTTGAACCTGACTTTAAAATCTATGGTAATTCTATATCGTTTGTCTCTGACAGTCCCATCACTGGGGAAGAATTAATCTATCAGAATTACTGTCTCTTCCTCTTCTTTTTCTCCTCTGCTCTATTATTCTTTCTCCTTTTCTCCTTCTCCTTTTCCACTTTCTTTTTGCCCCCTTTTTCCTTTTCTTTCCTAATATCAAAAAAGCTTAATTAAACCACAGCTACTCCACCTGACATCTGAGAATTTAATAATTTCATAATTAAACGTTTTACCTTTATAGAAATGTCTGTCACAGCCACAGCAGGAAATAATGGATTTTGGAATATATGGTAGTTAGGTCTAATCTAGAATGCTTTTAGCATCAAACAAGAAAAGTGTAAACAAGCAAGAATTGGTCATATTTCAAACTTATTCCATGAATAAGAATTAAATACTGCAAATATGAAGATGTAGTTTTCAAGTTTATCATTTTAAAGGTCTATTTTAAGGCTTTAGAAAACAGTAGCTACAGGGTTCAATTGTGTCCCCTCAAAATTTATACATTCAAGTCCTAATCTGCAGTACCTCAAATTATGACCTTATCTGAAGTCAGGGTCTTTACAGAGTAATTAAGTTAAATGAAGTCATTAGGATGGGTCCTAATCTAATATACCTGGTGTCCTTATAAAAGGGAGAAATTTGGAGACAGACACCAAGCACACATGAGAACCCCATTGTGAACATCGAGGCAGAGATCAGAGTAATGCATCTGTAAGCTAAAGAACACTGGAGATTGCCAGCAAATCATCAGAACCTAGGGGGCAGATATGGAATAGATTCTTCCTCAAAGTCCACAGAAAGAGCAAACCTGACAACACCTTGATTTCAGAATTCTAGCCTCCAGAACTGTGAGACGATAAATATCTCTTGTTTAAGCCACTCAGTTTATGGTACTCTGTTACAGCAGTACTAACAAACTAATACAGTAGCTAACTTTTTTTTAATGTGGGGTTTCTAATTCTGATCATGTTTTCACTTGGCTGGAAGACTCATTGCTACCAAGGGTGAAAAACAGAATGAGAGCGAAAGTAGGATTATTATATGATAACAGTCGTTGGCATTATTGATGCATTTCAGAATTAAAAAGCAAAGGCTTAGAATTTTAAAATAAGACTTGTCCCAGAGGCAAGGTGGCTTTCACATCCAAAAAACATATATGAGTTAACGTAATATATCATATCAAGAGAATAAAGAACAAAAACCACATGATCATCTCTATGGACAGAGAAGTTATTTGACAAAACTCAACAATTTCTCATGATAAAAACAATCAACAAAGAACAGAGGGGAACTTCCTCAACTCAACAAGCACCTACAATAAAACCACAGCTAACATCATACTTAATGGTGGAAGACGAATGATCATACTCATACTTCCCAACTTCAAAACTTACTACAAAACTACAGTGATCAAGAAGACAATGTGATATTCTAACACTAGCCATATAGGTCCTAGGAATAGACTAGAGAATCTAGAAATAAACGTTCATGTCTATGTTCAATTGATTTTTGACAAGGGCTCCAAGACAGTTCAACAGGCAGTAACTTATGAACAAATGGTTCAGGTACAACTGGATAGCAACATGCAGAAGAATGAAGTTAGAACTATTCCTCACCTCATACACAAAAGTTAACTCAAAATGAACCCTAATCCTAAATGTAAGAGCCAAAACTATAAAAGTCTTAAAAGATAACATAGGTATAAATCTTCATGATCTTAGGTTAAGAAAAGCCTTCTTAGAAATGGCATTGAAATCATAAGCAATAAACAAATAAATAGACTATTAATAAGAGTTCTAACAGAAACAGAACCAACAGATGTATACATATACAGAAAGAAAGAGAAAGGAATTGACTCATGTAATTATGAAGACTGAGATGTCCCAAGATCTGCAGTCAGCCAACTGGAGAACCAGGAGAGCCAATGGTATAAATTTCAGTTCGATAGCTAGCAGGCTTGAGATTCCAGAAAAGTTGATGTTTCAGTTCAAGTCCAAAGGCAGGAGAACCAATGTGGCACTTCAAACAGTCAGGCAGGAGTTCTTCTTTTTCAAGAGAGGATGATCTTTTTTGTTCTATCGAGATCTTTAACTGATTAGAGGCCTGTGCACAGAAAACACAGCCTGCTTTACTCAGTCTACTGATGCAAATGTTAATATCACCCAAAAATGTCCCCACAGACACACCCAGAATAATGTCTGACCAAATATCCTGGAAACCCCCACCATGGCCCAGTTGATGTAACATCAACCATCATAGAGACTTTATCAAAATTTTAAAAATTTGTGCTGTGAATGTTATACCAAGAAAATGAAACACAACACATAAAATGAGAGAAAATATTTTCAAATCATGTATCTGATAAAAGACTTATATTTAATAAAGACCTCATAACTCAATAATAAAAAGGTAAGTAATCTAAATTAAAAATGAGCAAAGGATCTGATCAGGCCTTTTTTCCAAATAAGATATACAAGTGGCCAATAAGTATATTAAAAGATGATCAGGGGAAATTATGACTGATATTGTAGAAATATAAAGGATCATACAAGAATACTATGAAAAAGTATATAACACCAAATTTAATAACCTAGAAGAAATGGACCAGTACTTAGAAAAATACAATCTTACTAGACTGAATCAAGAAGAACTGGAAGTCTAAAGAGACCAATCAGCAGTGTGGAAATTGAAACGATCATCAAAAACCTGCCAAAAAGTAAAAGTTCAGGACTAGATAGCTTCACCAGTGAATACTACCAAACATTTAAAGAAGATTTAATATCTATTTTTTCCAAAAAAGAGGAGGCAATACTTTCCAACTCATTTTATGAGGCCAATATTACTTTGATACCAAAACCTAGTAAAGATAACACAAAAAAAGAAAACAACACAACAGTATCTCTCAT